CTGATAATATAAACAGTCAATTAATCCATGTCTTGCATGTTATATGAAGTATGAATTGTACTCTCACAATAAGGTAAGCTAGAAAAAAAGAAAATATTAAGAAAATCATAAGAAAAATACATTTATAATATTTATTGAAAAAAATCCACACATAAATCAACCTAAGTAGTTCAAAGGTCAACTGGAATAAAATCGGAAGAAGACAGTGAAGTATTTTAGTTAGCTGAAATGTAATCGACAATGAACCATTTAAAAACATCCTTTTAACAGGTACAAACATCAGAGATTCTTGCCAAAGCGTAACGTTACTAACACTACCAATTTATTTATTTATTTGTTTTTTATCGTCACCCAAGAACATTTCTGCATTATCTTCGAGGGAGTGGGAGAGAGTGAGGGGGGGAAAGAGAGAGAAACATCGATGTGAGAGAGACATCAACTGGTTGCCACCCACATGACCCCAACCAGGGCTGGGACACACTGCAACCAACGTACACGCCCTTAGCGGGAACCGAACCCGGGATTCTCTGGTCCGCGGGCCGACGCTCTAACCGCTGAGCCAGACCGGCCAGAGCACTAACATTACTAATTTATGTTGCTTTTGTTCCCCTCTGAAATTTACAATCAAAATCAGAGGGTAGACTACTCAGATAAGGTGTGACTTAAGGCCTAATGTGCACTTGGCAATTCTGCAGGGCCTGACACTGAGGGACACAGGTACATCTCCCTCACCTTCACCTGCTTTCTCCGCCTCCGCTCTGCCACTTCCCGGTTCGCTCTTCCTGAAAGTATTACAGCTACATCCTTGTTCTCGTAGGTTAACTGATCCCTGGTTAAACAGAAATGTCTCTGAACAGGTTCTGAATAACAAAGCCAGACTTTGCCAATTTAAAAAAATATCACTGTTTTGCCTAGGGTAAGAGTTAATTATAATAATTTGCTCTAATCATGTGCCTGTACCTCTCTTTTTCCAAACACTTATTTCATAATTATGTTTGTCAAGTTGTTAAGGGTAATGACCCTATTTTACCATCAGGGGTAAAAAAAAAAAAACAACCACCGAGAAACAAAAACAAAAAACAGATCAAAACAAAAGTATGTCCTATGAATTGCTGGAAGGTGGCTTCGTCTGAATTTCTGATTACATGGTTTCTGACTCGGACAGCATCTCTATAATTGAGATAAGAAAAGGGTAGCGCCTGTCTGCGGGCCTCTCTGGGGCCATTTCTTCCAGCTTATCTGAATTCACTGATGCTGAGCTGATGAACGAGAATCAAATGAGTAGATGAAAATGGTTGAAATGATCAGTCCTGTCACAGATCAGTAGCCTCATTATATAAATCTATATAAATCGAAGTGACCACAGGTTGCTGCTCTAGCCACCAAGCAATGTTCTCTTTTATTTAAAGATGAAAATGTGAATATTTGGAGGGGGGGCATGGGATGTAATTCTGACTAACAACTTCTGCATTTCAAATCAAAGGGAACATTTCTCAAACCGAAACTTTATTAAAAGTTCATTTTAAAAACCAGTAAAATGTAAAATATTAGACATTTAGAAAACATTAGCGAATTAACCTTTATGTTATGCAAATATAACAATGTCAATAAAGTACCAGATTAAAAATTCAAACTATAATGATTATTCCATGAGGCAAGAACATGAACCTGAGTGGGGAAGGAGAGCTCAGGTCGGAGGTGTCCACCCTGTGGGTGAGCATCTTGTTTCAAGGGCTGGCCGAGGACCAGGCAGTTTCATCCCTCTCCCGTGTCAATCTTCCCTAATTCCCTTCTTCTCACCTTCCCCCTTCTCTTCCTGACACGCCCGTGGTGGCCAGTTGCCCTGGCCGGTTTTGCCCAGTGGTTAGAGCACTGGCCCCTGTACCAAAGAGCCGAGGGTTTGATTCCAGTCAAGGGCACGTACCTCGGTTGCGGTTCGATCCCTGGCCCTGGTTGGGGTCATGCAGGAGGCAACCAATCCATATGTCTCTCTCACATCAATGTCTCTCTCTCTCTCTATTTCCCTCTCTCTCTCCTGCTCTCTCTCTCCCCCTCTTATTCCCTCCCTCTTTACCTGAAAATCAATGAAAAAATATCCTCTGGTGAGGATTAAAAAGAAAAAGAAAAAGAAGTAAGTGGCCAGGCTTTGAACCCCTCCTAAACCATGGCTCCTGTGTCTGTAACTGCAAAGACAAAAGTGAACTGGTTGTCAGGGTCTTTTACAATGTGCTACCACTACCGTCCCTAAACCTCTGATATCATCACCTCTCTACCTGCAAACATCTTCTCAACCTAACTCTTCTCTCAGGAAAGTTCTGCAAGGGCAGGGAAGAGGTCCACAGATGTCTTTCGAAATCCTCTCATCATGACCATACCAAGCTGTTGTTTTATCCTTTTATTACTTAACGCATCATTTTATTGATCGTAGTATACTAGAATGCTTTTTGTTTGTTTGTTTGACCCCTAATGAGTTAACAGAATGCATCAAAATTCAAAGGCAAACAGAACAAGAGGATGGAGAAATTAATAGTGAAACAGGTGTGCATGAAAGCACAGAGGAGCTGAAAGACGAGTCACAGTTGTGTACATTGAAAGTTAACTCTGGGTGAACCTAGGCAGTTTTTATTTTTTAATTCTCTAGGAAGGGTTATATGTTTACTTGTCTCAAAAAAACAAACAAAACCTTAATATATTATTGTAAGTTTTGAAATACACCTGTATTGAAGAGAACTCCAAAAAACATTCTTTTTGCTTATCCAGTAGCATCTTTGCACTCCCCAGTGTTTACACACCTACTTAATCTTGAATGGTGGTTAATTAACTATTGACGGGTCCGGCATTCTAGGGCTTCCCAGGTGACAGCTCAGTGTTCTTTACTAATCTTTCATGAAAACACTTACATGAATAATGAATCTGCATTTCCCTAGGTACTCGTGCAGCTTTCATAACAGTCATAAAGGGAGGCACAGGCACAGTTATACTAAACACTGTGGCTTGAAAATGTTTTCACAGAGCCTTTCAGAGAGGTTATGTTGAAAATGAAGCTCCGGTTTCTGAGGTTATTAACTGTTTCACATTATCATCCCAATAAATAAGTTCAATAAAAAAAGAAAAAAAATGATGGAACACTGAAAAACTCCAAAAAAAGTTTCACATCAATATATCCCATTATAATATAAGCACATAACATTAGAAGCACAGAATAGTTATGTTTAAGAAGTGAATACCATTACTTGCTACATAAGCCCCAGAGTAAGCATAACTTAGATTTTAGTAATCACAGTTCCAAACTTGAAAGTTATAATTAAAAGAAACACATACGTATCTATAAGCACATATACACATAGATCGTATATATATTTATGGTACACGATAGCAATGTGATTAAAATGTCTATGAAATTTATTATTCATCTAAGAATTGAAACTTGTCATCATTTAGTCTAATTTTACAGATGAAAACATGGAATCTTTGATATCAAGATTTAGCTCACACAAATCCATGACGCTGTGTTGATCACTGAAAGAGCGCTCAGGTAATTTGGCATGCCACCACTTTTGATACAATTTCAGTAACCCTTTTGATTCAATGCCTATCCTGGTTCAAATTTACACTTGCTTAGAAGAAACTAGGTTATGACAACCAGTTATTTGAACAAATTTGAAAAAATGCCCAGCTGGTGTGGCTCTGGATTAAGCATTGTCCCATGGACTGAGAGGTTTGATTCCCAGTCAGGGCACATGCCCGGGTTGTGGGCTCGATCCCCAGCAGGGGGCGTGCAGGAGGCAGCTGATCGTTGTTTCTCTCTGACATATGTTTCTATCTCTCTCCCTTCCTCTCTCTCTAAAATAGCAATTTAAAAAAAGAAATTTAAAAATGTTTTTATAAATTGTTCAAGTGGAAGGCTATTATGGAAACAGACATTACAGGAACTTTTGGGGAAAAAAACAGTGTTTGAAGTCAAAAGTCCAAAACTGTGTCTTGTGACTATTTATTATGACTCTGGACAAATCATTTAACTTCTCTGGTCCTCAGTGTCTTCATTTTTACAGTCAGAATAACGGTACTTGTGACATTTGTATTTCCTGGTTGTCATATGCTTATACTACACACTATTGCTACCACTAATTATACTACTAGTTCTACCATTAATCAAAGCCTTCTATGGATTTGCTCTGTGTGCTTTGTGACTGTAACACCCTCATATGGTCCTATAAGCTAAGTGTTCTGACTTTCTCACCACAGATGAAGAGACATCTCTGTGTGGTTAAATAACTGGCCATAAGAGCTTGAATGTGAATTTGAATCCGGATCTGACTCTAAATTTCATTTTCGATCCATTATATCCTGGCTTCCTCTAATATGTTATATATATTTGTGTGTATACACACATAAATATATATGGACTAGACACAGGTTCAATTCTACATACAAAATTGACAATGACAGAAAAAGGGCTGGTTTCAGTAAACAAGGGTTGAACTCTAACCCTGTGGTCTGGACAAAAGGAAAGGGAAAAGATCCTTTTAAAAATTACCGATGGTTCTGGATTTTCCCAAGTGGTAACATATCGTCTTCCCATTTGGAAATTTCAAAAAAGTTATTCTGTGCTTTCCTATCAAGACAAAATAATAACACTAGCTCTATTTATTTCCTTTGACTGTTGTGTACGAATACATAACAATGATGATGATAACTGGATAGGGACATTCAGAATGAACAATTTCTTTTTTCAGAGCTAAGGAGAAGAGCCAGGGGGTATCAGACAAGATGCACAGATGTCTTATTTCTAATCAAAACACAAATTTTCCACTGTGTAAACCACTCCAGACTTTCCCCTAATCTCCTTGCGAAGAACGTAAGACTGCATGGAAAGACGTCGACACCTGTGCCAGTTCAGGGCTAGAATGACAGATCTGGGGAACAGGAGATGCCGCTATTTCCATTATCCATCGAACACCTTGGCAATTCTTATTTCATCCTGAGAATGTGATACTTACTCTTGAACTGCTCTGGCTATGGAAAGGGCCGTAGATCCGGTTTCATTAACGCTATCTAAGGTCACATTTGGCAGGTCATCATCATCACTGTCACTTTTACTTTGTCTGGGAGATAGGCCTCGGGGGTCCATTTGTGCTGGAGAAAAAAGGCATATATATGAATTAAAATTAGTGTGCAGAACGTTAACCTGGTCCTGGACCAACATCAAGCATGGAAGGTCTCTTCTGTGTACATCACACCCATGGAATTCTCTAGAGGTCCCAGGAATTCGTGAACGCAATGTATTTTAGGTACTGAGCACTCACTGGCTCTTTTGTCTTGTTCATTGGTTTATAAAGCCTCCATCAGCTCTCCGTCGTTTCAGGGTACGACTACAGAATAGGAACTGTAAAACGCATGATGTTATCTATTCCTGAGGGCTCGGAAGCTGATTAGACAGCTCAGCTGTTAGTGTTTGACCCTCTGGCTTCTCCCTGCTTCTGCTGCCAGGGCTCTGGCCAAGCCACCGCTCTTGCTCACAGCTCTCCTAAAAGCCCAACGGAGAACAAGGCATGCAAGGCTCACATCAAGTTTTAGGTATTTTTCATTCTTCAGTAAATGATTATCTAGCAGTTTATTACTGTGATCTGAATGTAGAGAAATGACAGAAGTAGTAGTAGCATTATAATTAGGAGTTTGTATGTGCTAAAAAGTACTCTTCGTCTCGATCCTGATTTCATTTTTGAAAACAGCATTTCCAGATAGAATTCTCCTCCCACTGTGAACTTGTCAAAGCAAAAAAACAGCCCCAGGGTTTGAGCCCTGTTGACTAGGACCATCAGATCCTTTCCAATGAGCAGATTACAGTCATCATTTCATACCTTAACTCATATTTTTAAAAATAAGTTTTCATTTCTACCTCCTTCTCTCTATCAACAGCTTTAATAACCACGGTGTAGGATTTCCATTAGCCCTCACCTCAAGCACAAAATACACACACCTACTAAATTAAAAGCACTGTGCTAGCTACATAATTGCAATGTTAGAATACAAAGCTTCAATGCCAACCAGCTGCAACCAAATCGCTGCTCCTCAAACCTTCCTGCATAACATTTTTGAAACCACCACTGCTTACAAAAAAAAAAAAAAAAAAAATCCACTTAAAATCATGGTTATGATGACATCTAGGTACAATTACAATTTTGTATTTTTCTCAAATAATTTTTTTCTTACTTTAGAGCATGCATTAGGTAGAACTTCAGGAAAGTGCTAGTATTTCACCTTTTTTTTTTAAACCTACAGACAACCTTTTATGATTCTACCTAACACATATGAATAGAAACTGTATCTAGAGAGTTTCAACATGTTTGCAACGAAACTTGGTTAGGAGGAAACTGGTATCTGTTAAGCCGAGTGTACTACTGCATTGCCCGCACATTATTCCTGTAAGCATACACATATTAAAATGCAGCTTGAATAATGAAAGTGTTAGGTAATTGTGGGTTAAATTAAAGATAAAATAACTAAAATAATCTAAACCAGTAGTCCTCAAACAAGAGCACATTTTCCCCCAAAGAGACATTCGGTAATGTCTGGAGGCATTCGGAATTGTCACAACTTAGGGGAAGGGAGATGTCACTGGCATCTTCGTTGATGTTCCTAGACATCCCACAATGCACAGGTCAGTCAGTCCCCCATGACGAAGAGTTAACCATTCTAAAATGTCAAGAGTGCCAAGTGGAGAAACTCTGAGTTGGAGATTTAACAGTTTGGATAGAGAAAGGTGTTACATCTTATGACTTTCAATTGCATTACTATGTTGTAGTTTCAGTCACTAGCAAAGAAATTGAATCATATACTAGATTATCCATATTTTCTGGTCCTCAGATCAAACAATGAACTGTCATGTGACTCAGCCCTCACCGATTCCTCAAATATAGCCATCACTTGCCCAAATGCCAGGAATTATGCAGTGACATTCATTAAAGAGTTCCTGAATATTTTCCTTGTCCCATCCCACACACGGTGGGACAAAAGGACTTCTACTGGATCTCTCGAGATTTCCGAGAAGAGAGATGTTGGAGAAACCCTGTGTAGCAGGAACTACCTGAGAGCAGAGAGCTACTGAAGCATCAGTCACTCCAAAGGCACGGACGGTGCTGTATCATTTAAGGTTTACCTTGGCACCAGGCAAGAGAAACTGGTTCAGGAGAACTTACACTAAACAGAAGTACTGGAAAGATACTGAACAGCTCGCAGAAAGTACGGTAAAGATTAACAACCAGCCCTCACGTAGCACAGGTCACAGGATGATACAGGCATATCAACCAGGAATTCATAGAGAGCTTTTTGGGGGCAATCTGTTATAGAGTGATTCAGTTAGCAATCACTTATAACTACTCAAATTCAGCCAAGAAAATGAGTAACAGATCTATCTAGGCTTCCAAATCACATATTGTGTGGTGTTATGTATGCCTGTAAATGTCAACAATTTAACATTTAATGTTGTTGAAATACGATGCACTAAGACTCCTTTGCCAAGACACCAAATTAACAAATAGCTAAAGATAAGAGAATATTCTGGTGGTCCCATTCTGTCCAAGAAAACTAGAGCTCTCATATGTAAGTAATAGAACTCAAGGAAGATACAGGCAATTAACCAATAGGCAATCTGACTCTGCCGTTAAAGTCTAGCTATACAAAGACTTCAAATATCTGGTGTGCGAGTGATCATCTAAATTATGTTATGTTTATATCTCAGTGAAAGTTTAAAATATGTTAAATATGATTTTCTTTTTGATGTACTTTTCAGGAACATTATAATTGAGGATTTCTTTCCAATATTTTCAATCAATATTATGAAATACATCTGCTACCATCATGCTGAGAAACTTTTTTACCCATACCTTCAGCCAAGTTCAGGAAGTAATTAGAAAGGCTTTTCAAATCTGCATTGCTGATTGTCAGAGGATTAGCTTATCTGCATACTTGCATAATTCCACTCTCCTTTTTATTTATTTTTAAAATTTATATTTATTGTTGAAAATATAACAGATGTCCCCCATTGACTCCTTACACTTTACTCTCACCAACCCCAGGCCTTCACCACACTATTGTCTGTGTCCATTAGCTATACATATATGCACAGAAGCTCTTTGGTTAATCCCCTCCTCCCACCCCCACCCCTGAAATTCATCAGTGTGTTCCATGCTTCTATGTCTCTGGGTCTATTTTGTTTTTGTTTTTTTTTTTAGACAGAGAGGAAGTGAGAAGGAGAGAGAGATAGAAACAACGATGAGAGAGATCATCGATTGGCCACAACCTGGGCATGTGTCCTGACTGGGAATCGAACCTGTGACCTCTTGGTGCATGGGTTGATGCTCAACCACCGAGCCACACCAGCCGGACTGGGTCTATTTTGTTCATCAGTTATTTTGTTCAGCAAGTTCCACATATAAATGAGATCATGTGATACTTGTCTTTCTCTGATGAGCTTATTTAGCCTAGCATAATACTCTCCAGGTTCCTCCATGCTGTCTCAAAGGGTAACAGGTCCTTCTTTTTCTATAGCTGCATAGTATTCCATTATATAAATGTACCACAGCTTTTTTATCCACTCATCTGCTGATGGGCACTTAGGCTGTTTCCAGATCTTAGCTATTATAAATAGTGCTGCTATGAACATAAGGTTCATATATTCTTTTTGATTGGTATTTCAGTATTCTTAGGATATATTCCCAGCAGTGAGATCATTGGGTCAAATGGCAGTTCCATTTTAAATTTTTTCAGGAAACTCCATACTGTTTTCCATAGTGGCTATACCAGTCTGCATTCTCACCAGCAGTGTAGTAGGGTGTCCTTTTCTCGGTATCCTTGCCAGCAGTTGTTGTTTGTTGATGGCAGCCATTCTGGTAGGTGTTGAGGTGATACCTCATAGTAATTTTAATTTGTATCTCTCTGACGATCAGGGACTTTGAGCATTTTTTCATATGTCTCTTGGACATCTGTATGTCTTCTTTGTAGAAGTGTCTGTTTAGGTCCTTTGACCATTTTTAATTGGATTGTCTTCCTTTTGTTAAGTTGTATGAGTTCTTTATATATTTTGGAAATTAACCCTTTATCAGTTGCTGTGTCCCATAGAATTTGTGTTGTTGTGTGTTCTTTTTTATTTGTTTCCAGGAAGTTTTTGATTCATTGTTTAATAACATGCTATTTAGCTTCCATGTGTTTGAATGTTTTTGAGTGTTTTTATTGTAGTTGGTTTCTAGTTTCATGTCATTGTGATCTGAGAACATATTTGATATGATTTCAGTCTTCTTGAATTTGTAGAGACTTATTTTGTGTACAATCATTGGTCTGTCTTTGAGAATGTCCCATGTGCAGTTGAAACGAATGTATATTCTGCAACTTTGGGGTGAAATGTTCTGTATATGTCAATTAAATCCATCTGACCTAATGTGTCATTGAGGGTCATGGTTTCTTTGTTGATTTTTTTGTCTGGAAAATCTATCCAGTGAACTCAGTGGGGTGTTAGTCTCTTACTATGAGTGTACCTCTGTTGATCTCTCTCTTAAAGTCGCCCAAGAGTCTTTAAATAAATTGATGGGCTCTTATATTAGGTACATATATGTTTACCTGGGTTATATCCTCTTGTTGGATAAATCCTGTCAGTATTATGTAATGACCGTCTTTGTCTCTTGTTATGGCCTTTGTTTTGAAGTCTATTTTGTCGGGTATAAGTATTGCTACCCCTACTTTTTTTCATTTCCATTAGAATGGAAATTTTTTTTCCATCCCTTCACTTTCATCTTATATGAGTCTTTTGTTCTGAGGTAGGTCTCTTATACACAGCATATATATGGATCATAGTTCCTTATCCATTTGGCTACCCTATATCTTTTGATTGAAGCATTTAATTCATTTACATTTAAGGTTATTATTAACAGGTACTTATTTATTGCCATTTTATTTATTATACCTATGTTTCTCTCTCTCTCTGTCTTCTGTTTATTACAGCAGTCCCTTTAACATTTCTTGCATGCTGGTTTGGTGGTAATATATTCCTTTAGCCATTTTTTTGTGTGTGTGTGTCTGGGAAGCTCTTTTTTCACCTTCTATTTTGAATGATAACCTTGATGGATAGAGTAGTCTTAGAT